AATTACCGCAATAATAGTGAATGCAATTGAAAATAAAATTGGTGAAACTGGGGGAAAAAAAAAAGGGTTTCTGCTGTTAAAAAGGACCCTGTGATTGGCGGATGTCAAGTATCTAAAGAGTGCTTTAGTGTACGTCATGAAATTCGAGACAGCACAGCAAGCAACTTGTAGGACATCTTCAAGAAAATTTTATTTGGGAGTTTTATCTTAAGAACAAATATCTTTCAAATTACTAAAACAATAATGGCAGTTCCAGATTGGTTTGATTCTTCAGTTGATATGATAATCACTAAATATTACATTACATGGATTCTGAAACCTTCTGCTTCCACTGAATCTAAACACAAGAGTAAGGAAACAATAAAAAAATAGGCAAACTAAAAAACTATTGAGAAAATTCCTATTTATTTAACCCAGGAGTGCGCATGCTCTTTTGAGTTACACAGGCGCGTGCCCTGGGTCCAAAAGACCCGGCTCCTGTTTTTTGAAGAAAAAACTGTTACTCTTTAAGTAAAAGTGTTACATTTATGCCAAAATTTTATGATCAAACTTAAAAAATATGCAAATTATAAAAATTAAAATTTTAATTTCAATTTTTACAATATTCTTTATGAAATAAAAGTTTTTAAAGGAATAGAAAAACATATTAAATATAGAATTTATTATGAATTAAATATATTTTTATTCAGGTTATTTAGGAATTATTATTCAGGTTTATCAGGAATATACTGCCTGAAAGAACATCTTCCTCGGAAGGCTTCATATTTTTCATTAATTGTTATGAACTCACCGACAGTGTAATATTTCTGGCAGTTAATCACAAAATCTTCAAAAAACTCTCTTATAGGTGCAAGTTTATCTGATTCATTTTTGACGACGTGAGTTCCTATGTCATCAAAAAGCAAACATCTTTATAAAAAATGAAAACCTTTGTAGGACATAGTTTTGTGGGAAATTTCGAAGCTGGTTCCGTCTATTGCCCGCAGATCCTGCACATTTACATGAGATGATTTATGTCACAAAAACATAAAAGACCTATAAAAGTGCAAATTTCAGTTAGAGTTGTGTTATGAGCATCTCTCTCTATTTGAAAGGTGTCAGAAATAGACACAATATAAATATTTGTATAACTGATGACTTTCAGCAACATTTGTTCACTTAGTAAAAGTTACCACGATTCATTTGGAGTCTACACATATTTTGCCTTACCAATGTTTCCAGCCAATTTAGAAATAATATTATGAGCAGGAGTTCTAACATCAGCTTTAGACTTTCTTTTTTACCATTGTTTTTTTTGTCTTTTCCAATAAAGCAATAAATGTCATTCTCGTTTTCGTTTTCAGAATGCATTTTGATTTCTGAGAACATGAGAGTATCATGCGAACTAAAAATTCATTATAACTTTCATCATCAGTTTCTTCAATGGAGTCTTCAACAGTTTATACATCAAATAATTTTTGCAAAGGTACCGTTTCTTCCTTATAGGATAAATGACGCAGCATGTTTGCAGTTTTCTCTGCTACCACAAATGAACTATCTTACAGCAATGCGAATAGGTGCGCTGGGTCAGAAAGACCCGATCTGATTAAAAACAAAACTTCGAATAAAGTTTCTGGCAAAAAAATTCGGAAACATAAAGAGGATGGCCTTGGAGGAGACTACACTCAACCACAACCACTTGGGAAAAATAAAGGCATTTTCAGAAAGGTTTCTTTAACTGAGCGGGTCCATTGGACCCAACGCACGTGCTTGCGAGTTACGGGAAAAGATATGCAGGTCAAAAATAAATAAATAAAAAAATAAAATAAATAAATAAAAATTCAAGCTGTTATTCATAATAACCTACATCCAGCCATAACAGAGCACTTTTATTTCCCAAACTTAAGTTATGGAGAAATCTAATAAAACACCTTTCTCCCAGGATGAAGCACCAATATATTTTTCAAGGAATTTACAAGCTGTATTATACATTTTCCTTCCAAGGCAATGGATTGGAAAATATGGGCTATCAAGAAGCCTGAATCTTATCCTATTGAACTGGATTACACAGAGTGTTCCTAAGATTTTATAGCTGAATTTTTTCAATCAATCTCAGTGAAGCTGTGAGATGATAACTAGAGGCAATGTTTACTAACAATTCAATTAATGAATTTATTTAGTAAATGGATTCAATGATTAAATACTGAAAAGAAAGAATTTTCTTGTACAATACAGCTAGTGTCAAGCATTGCAATAACTGCACATTAATGCAAATAAATGACTAACTTTACCTTAATCAATTTTTTTTTTGTGAGATTTGTTAAATTTGAACTACAGTCAAAAGTCGTTAATCCAGACTCATCGGGACTTCGGCAATTCCGGATTATCGATTTTTCCGGATTATAGATCATCAGTTTAAATCTGGTAAGATGGCATGCAGAAATTATAAAATTAAAAATATGAAACCGTAATTTATGAAATAAAAAACAATTATGATCTAAAGAGTATCAAAATTTACAAAAAAAAAAAAAAAAAAAAAAAAAAAAAAAAGCTTAATATTTATTTGTTTACTTTATTAAACATTTCTTTCAATGTAAGTTGTTTAAGTTGCTTCGTTTTATGTGATAATACTTTCTCTTTAATTCTATAAACAGACATAATTTCTTCTTCAGTTACAAAGTTCTGCTGTTAAAGTCCTATAATTGCTGTTTCGAGAATACCGACTGATTTGTTAATCGAAATTTTTTCGTTTTCAATAACCTCTGTATCACTTTTTTCTTTATCGGAAGTGAATTATAATGATGAGGAATTTGATTTAAATCATATCAAACATCAAGAGTACATCGAGATGAAATACTACATTTAGTAAGGAATTATAAGCGAAATAAAATAAAAACATCTGCCCTGAAGATAAGGATAGTGCTGACAGATTAACTTCCAATTCATGGCGCGCCGTGGCGTTTCCACCCCCCCCGGGCCACAGAGCAGCGTGAAATTGATAAACTGAATTTCGGAATGGTTTGAGAAACGAAGGATATGCCTTTATCCACTTTTTGTTTAATGGACTTCTAAACATACTTTCGCTTTGTAGATCCTTTACATTTTAGTAAATATATATCGGAAATTCTATTTGACATAATAGAAAGTTCAAGCTTACTTTTATAAAATTGCTCTAACAGTCTGCAAAAAATAATAAGCCGGATCCAATTCGAAGATTCAGGAACAATGCAATCTGCAACATTAACTGAATTAGATAACTTTAGCTTAGCTTATACCATCCGTTATACATTAAACACGCAAGCGTAAACGTATTATGCACATGCGCGTACGCATATTCGCAGCCGTAAAAGTCTTACGCGCATGCGTCAACGTGACGTATGCGCAGAAAGTTTGTAGCTTTGGGGTCCGGATTATAGATCATTCCGGATTATGGGTGTTCGAATTAACGACTTTTGACTGCATTTTGTATTCCTTAATTCAGATATTACCTCACAGGGCCCCATTTTGAAAGTATCTGGAAATTTAAAATACACTTCTGTGATTTAATCCTATAGCTCTGCAACTGTGAGAAGAGGTGTATAGTGCATAAAAGGCTAAATGGTGATAAAGATTTTTTCAAGCATAGCCTGTTGAGGGTGGACAATTAATGTACAAAATGATCTAAATTTTTCCAAAATTTTAATTAAAAATGTTTGGCCTTACTAAATTGTTTACTGTTTAGCTAAGACACATGTTATATGCCTTTTATATTTCTTGGGTCACAAATCCCCTGACGAAGATGCTAAGAAAAATGTAAAATTACCTCTTTATGATTTTTTTGGTATTTTTATGGTCAGTAATTAAAAATACATTTATGTTTGCCTGCCATTTTTCTCAGTTTTTTGCAGTGGTTATGTTCACCGTTTTATTTGTTTTCTACTTTGCAGTTTTGATGGAATATGAATATAAATTTATTATTTACATTTTTGATTATGTGTGTATATATGTGTTTTAATGCATAGTCATGCCACCTGAGTGGAAAGATGAACAGGTGACACTGACATAAAATGAATTAGATGAATTCCCAATCTTTATTTCCAAGCACATAAAGTCATCTCAGTAGATATTAATCCAATCATAATGAATTATAATAATTTCTTATGTACACACCTTGACAGGGGTGACATTATTTTTAACGGACAAGTGGAGTAGCGGGGATATCTTAGCAGTGGTGAAGCTACGGAAAGAATGACGTAATTTTTTGTGCCAAACATATTAAGTACATGCAGAAAGTACTCTAAGCTATGATTGGTTAATCTTAGGTTGTTATATAACATAGAAGGATCTTGAATTGGGGAGAACAAATGAATTTAGGGGTAAAGCACCAAATCTAGAATTAATTTTGAGGTCGGGAATTATTTTTTAAATAGCTATCATATTTTCTAATATTTTACATGAATAATAGCAAGGGGAAAAAAAAAACGAGCAGTGTTGATGCATACATAGATCCATATGAAGAGGAAGAGCACCAATTGCATTGTATGCTAATATGTTGACTTGATAATATTTAAGAAACATGGCAGTCGAGGCAGTTTTAATTCCATTTTCATTTCCAGTTGGCATTTGTGGCCACAATCACTTGGCACTCTAGTCGTGCCTATTCACAAAATATTTAGATTTTTTATACTTTCGAGATAGGAAGCGAGCACAGCGAAACAGTGACCAAGCACTACAGAAGTTCAAGCTAAAGTACATAGTTATGCAAGATGGATGCACACGAAGAGAAAAGTTTTGGTTTGAGTTAAAAGTTTCAGTTCCCAATTATTTTGTCATCAGTGCTTCGCAGGCATATGAAAATGGGATGATCTAGAAATGACGCAACCCATAGAAATTATTATGATTTTTAGAATAGAGAGGGAGAAACTAAAGGGTTACCTGTTAGTTTAAATTATAATTTTGATTTACATAGTCATCTTAGATACACACACACGTAGTACAATAATACTATTGATATTTTAATACATTTCAACTTGCTTTTATACCTCAGAAAGCTTTTGCTGGTCATTCTGAGTATATCTTGCAAGAACCATTTCTATTGTTTCTGCTATACCTGCTTGTTCTACTCCTATCATTGTAGGCTGAAATATAATCTCTGGAACCCTAAAATAACACATGAATTAAAAATAAAAGAATTATATATGAACACATATAAAGAACAATTTTATTTATAAAATTCAAATAGTTAAATTCAACAAAATTAAGCAAACTATATATACCAAGGTACATAATGTATGATATATGGTATTAGAAATATTTTTATTAACTGCTATAATGCTGTAAGTATTTTGAAACAATGAAATACACAAAATAAATTAAATGTAGTTTAAATTATTTAAATTAGATATATTATTATATATGAAGCAAAGATTTTAAATATTAAGAAATTTGATTGTATTTGTATGAGTTAAAATAACATACTGAATAATGATTATTGGAGGAGTTAATACGATAAGAATCAGCTGCAAAAGTGCAAATGACTCATTTGCACCTCTGCATCTGAAGAGGAAGTTTCTATATCTAGACCTTCAAAACTAGTTCCGCAAATTAATGAATATTATGATTATACTTATTAACTCCAATAAATTTGCTTTGTTGTAACACTTTATAAATTGCACCTATACAAGTAGAACAGTACAATGAAATGGACCCAACTAAAACATTTCCAGAAGATTCAACAAAGGGCATTTCTACTATTAAAAAAAAGATAAATGCAGTGGATAAAGACAACAGGTCCTCATGATTCAGCTTCCGTTAGACATTGAAAAAGATTACAGAATAAGATTTCCTTACACTTCACTGAAGTTAACATCCCTCCTTCTTTTGCAAGCACAAAGCAGTTGCCTTGGTTAAGAGTCGCTTCATGATCTTTCTCCTAACAATTTATTTCCCATCACTAACTACAAGAAGATAGTATGAGCACTGAAGATAAAATATAAAGTTTTACTTTTCTTACAAAATCCAGTGATGAAGATATTTATTTGTAATAAAAATTCCCAAATGTAAATTATATATTTTGTTTTTTTCTCATAGTCCAAGGAACACAGTTGGCACTAAGATATGTAGCATGTCAAAAAAGTAATACTTATTTGACAATAAAAAAATTGAAAGATATTAGCATTTAAAACTTAAAATTTAACTTTGAAAGTATGCAGCTTAGGATATCGTGTTACATAAGCAACTTTGACAATGAAAATTTTGGTGGAAAACACTTATTAAATAGCCAAGGCAGTTCACCAAGATACTTATTAAATAACCAATGAAGATTTTGGCAAATAATAACTGTATTTTTCAACTACTAACAAAAGAGTATGGTAAGAATGTATAAAACTTGTTTCCCTGTACCTAAATGCCACGGATGCCTATATGGAAAAATAGCCAAAGATAAAGATTATACATTTTCAAAATAAAAAGGTTTTGCTCAAGTGCTTCTTTCATTCTTTTCTAATTACCCAATAAGCACTTATTTGTAGATGTACTTCATAAAAATTTTAATACAGATAATAACTGAGAAATATATCAGAACTTTAATTCATTCAATTATATAAATTATTTTATCCTTACACTCAAATAATACACACAATGCAATTTTTGCTTCTCAGTTTTTCAAGTAGAAGAAATAACGAAAATGGCGGGAAAATTATTTGAATAGTACATTTTCTTCATTATACATACTAAACGCTGTCATCACTTGTACCTGAATGCCTTTTTTAAAAATATACCACCTTATTTGAAGACATTTGAACAAGTGATGTGAATAAATGTTTAAAGGTAAACTAGGACAAATTAACACTGAATATATGCTTTGTGGCTTGGGAAAGTTAAAAGCCTATCAAAAACTCATTTCAAAATAGTTTTAAAAACATGTATTAAATAATATTTTCATTAAAAGCCATATCTTAATTGACCAATGTAAAATTACCTGATGGTAATTAATAAAATAATAATAAATGGAGAAAATAATTAACAGTAGTAGTACATTTTAAAACAAAAAACAGCATATTAACAAGAAAACTAAATCAAAAACATAATTAATTTCTTTTTGGAGATGAATGTTTATAAGTTAATTCAAAGTTGTTAGGTAAGGAACATAATAAAATTTAATATTTTTTTAGTGGGTAGAATATTATAAAATGCATCTGAATTTAATTGGAAGAGAAAAAGCTAGTGTTAAGCATAAAATTAAGAAAGGGGGGAAGGAATTTCACATTTGCAAAAGTTTTAAATAAAATTCTGTCAATCTTGATATGATTTGATAAAAACTTTCTGCTCTTCAAAAGCAAATATATTTTGCTCCTGAAAACTAGTTCTACATCTATTCATTGGCTAGTCTTTACAGGTAATGGCAATCTAAATTTGAATTACAATTCTAATTATAATCAATGCTCAATTTCAGTCAGATCCTGAGTTTGTTTTAATGGCAATTGTAATTTTTTAGCACAGAACATGTTAGTTCATAGCAGTTCAGCTCCATTGCCTCTTTTCTCCACGTCTAAATCATTTAAAATATGATGAATTTATATAAAGTTCTGAAAGCTGTTAAGCATAAAACAGAAGGGAAGATATTTTAATAGCGAACATATTTGCTTTTGAAATAACATGTGAATTATTTTTCTTAGTTTAAAAGAAAGTTCTATAACATTTCACCTGAAAAATCCCAAACTCAGCAAACTTGAAACGTGAGAACATGATCTTTGTTCATTACTTTTGCCCAAATTCTGCATAATTATGCAGGACCTTAAAGTGAGCATATCTTATAATAAGGGAAGAAAATCAAGGCAAAATTTCTAGACAACATTCATATTATTTAAAGCCTTAGATTTGCAACTAGCTTAAGTAGCTTTGTTGATAAGGCACAGTGTTACAAATGAGAAGTATTTGGTTTGAGCACATTTGTGATCAGTTATAGAATAATGAGGGTGCCCGTTTAGCTTCTATAAACCATTTACTTATAATCATAGAATGTATTATATTACAGAGAAATGCAAACCACCATAGTTCTATTTTCATATATTTATCGAAAGTGTTGCCAATTATAAGTTACTAAATATTAAATGTTGCCATTTACAAAATATTAAATATTACATCTTCCAATTTTTTAAAGAGTTCAATTTTTTTTTAACAGTCTAAAACCAGTCCAAATACCTGGCCGGCTTTCCAATCACTCTCCTGCTTCTAGTTCTCTGCTCATCATCCCTTGTATGTTAGCAGAATTTGGTAGAACTTTGTAGTTAGCTTGTATGTTAGCAGAACTTTGTAGTTAGCAGAATTTGGTAGTTGTTCTTTTAAACTTTGCCCTTGAGAATATCTGGAATCATATCCTTTTACATCTGTTTTCTGTGTATTAACTTCTTGTTCTGTTCCTCTGATATTTTCTTCAACAGTTGAACTGTTTTTTCTAATGCCTTTTCTATTTCTTCTCAATATTGATCCACCTGATCGCAGTATATATGATCTAGGTGTCTTATATACTTCCTTCTACAACTGGTGGTTTCCAGCGATTATCGTGATATACCTTAACACAATCTCCTTTGTTTAGCGATGGAACGTTTGTGTATGGAGATCATACTATGACTTCTGCTTAGTTCTTTCTTGGTTGATTTTTTCTTTTATATTTTTTACAACTTGAGGTTTTAGTAATTCTTCGTATGTAGGAAGAATCGTTCTTGTTCTTCTACTCATAAGTTGTTGAGTTGATGATTCTAACATCTCATTAGTTGGAGTGTTCGTATGAGCTAACAATGCTAAATAAGGATCAGGATGATCTGCTTAAGCTTTCTTTAACAATTTCTTCGCTGTTTGTACTGAACGCTCTGCTAATCCATTCGACAGTGGATGATATGAACTGCTTATTATATGTTTAAATTGGTATTTCTTTGCAAATTCTGCAAATTCTTTACTAGCAAACTGAGGCTCATTATCAGATATCACTATCAATGGTATACCGTGTCTTGCAAAATGAGATTTCATGTAAATGATCACTGTCTGACTTCGAGCATCTGGTAGTTAAGAGATCAAAAAGTCGGAATAGTAATCTACAATTAATAAGTATAGATTTTTGTTAATCTCAAATAAATCTGTTGCAACTTTATATCAAGGTAAATTGGGAACTTCATGTGGTATCATAGGCTCTCTTATGTTTTTATTATGGTATTCATTACATATATAACATTTTAAATTTTATCTTATATCTGCTTGTTCATAAGTGGCCAAAACAAAATATCTCTAGCTCTTTTCTTACATTTTTTTTTTATACCAAAATGACCCACATGAATTAAATTTAACATATCTTTTTGCATAGATAAAGGAATAATTACCCTTCCTCCTTTGAAAAATAAGTCATTTTCCATTGTCGACTCATCTCGATAGTCCCAAAATACTTTGATTTGAGGTTTCAACTGATGTTTCCTTTCTGGCCAACCTCTCAGTATACAGTCAAAAGTCGTTAATTTGGACACCCATAATCCGGAATGATCTATAATCCGGACCTCAAAGCTACAAACTTTCTGCGCATGCATCGCTTTGACGCATGCGCGCAAGACCTTTACGGCTGCGAATATGCGTTTGCGCAAAATATGTTTACGAATGTGCATTTAATGTATAACGGATGGCATAAGCTAAGCTAAAATTATCTAATTCAGTTAATGTTGCAGATTGAGTTGTTTCTTAATCTTCGAATTGGATCCGGCTTATTATTTTTTGCAGACTGTTAGAGCAATTTTATAAAAGTAAGCTTGAACTTTCGATTATGTCAAATAGAATTTCCGATATATAATTACTAATATGTAAAGGATCTACAAAGTGAAAGTATGTCTCGAAGTCCATTAAACAAAAAGTGGATAAAGGATAATGGATTTGTTTATCTAACCATTCCGAAATCTGTTTATCAATTTCACGCTGCTCTGCGTGTGTGTGCGTGGGGGGGGGGGGGAACGTCGCGGCGTGCAATGAACTGAAAGTTGATCTGTCAGCACTATCCTTACCTTCAGGGCAGATGTTTTTATTTTATTTGGCTTATAATTCCTTACTAAATGTAGTATTTCATCTCGATGTACTCTTGATGTTTGATATGATTTAAATCAAATTCCTCGTCATTATAATTC